ATCATTAAAATCTTTAAAAAAAGAAAATGGCAATATTATTTAATAAAAATTTTAAGTTTCTATGGTTATTATTTTTTGAGTAACTTTAAAAACAAAAATGCAATTCTGTCGAAAAGTGTTATAACGTTAAGTTATATGTTTTTATAATTTTTTGTCAGTTTTTCACAGGTAATAGGAAAACTGTTGAGTTATTCTTAATACAATCTACAATAATGTATAAATAAGATAAAATATCCTATTGTAAATCTCTTATGATTCTGATGACCAAAGCAATTCTTCTGGTCGAAATCGTGTACATAGATACAAAAAACAATATAATAATACCAAAACAATCCTTGTTTCACTTAACATTTTACTTGACAGGAATGTGATGTTATTAGAAAAATATGATTATTTTTAATAAATTAATAACTTAAAAAAATATAATGATAATAATCCATAAATAATTGAATCGATTATTAAAAATGATTCTTGTTAAAGAAAATATTTTTTCCAAATTCATAATACGAAAAAAACAAGTGTTGTGTAGTATTGTGAAATATACTTATATATATTACGTATACTACACTTATAATGTTGTGAAAAAATTTTCTCTATATAATAGATTATTTTAAGTAAGTCATTTAATGTGTAATATCAAATCGACATATGACAATAATTAAACATTTAACTAAATTGGGAGTAATTCTTTTTTTTTTGTATATTAAAGATATTTTAAATGATCTCTCTAAAATAATAAATCATCTTATCCCTTAAAAATAAGTTACTTGAATGATATTTCATTATACTTAGTATAATTACGTAGATAAAATACAGGAATTATTAGTATTACTAATTTTATGAAGGCGTATGTCGACGAATAAACAGATATTTCAAAATCAAAAGTTGAATGGATTTTAATGCGTTTACACAATATTATCCATTTTATACTGATCAATTTGTGAATATAAGTAATATTTGAAATGAAGGCAGCCGCATCAATTGAAATTAATTTTTAATTGAATATTATAAAATTACTGTATCATAATTTTAACGGATTGTACACATATTTTATTTATTTGACGTACTTATTTTTTATCAGTGTATTCTCGGGCTTGTAAAAATGCAACATAGGGCTTAGGTTTATAAATATTCACATATACATATTGATATGTATATATCAATTATACGTAATCCAAAACTTTGGAATATTTTAAAAAAAGTCGGTGATTTTTTTTGAATTTATTTTTTGTATTTTATAATTAGTCTGGGCAATGGGTAAAGTATGTGCTTGTGTTTTTGTGTGTATGCGCGCGTCATTTATATAGAAACAAAGTTAACATTTCAAACAAGTTTGAAATTGTTTTGTGAAAAAGTAATTTTAAAATGATTAATGGTTGTGACTCGTATCTACTAGATATCCAATTGCAAATACGTGTCTCTCGTGGATTATCCAAATTCATATATAAATATATATATATATATATATTTATACTAGTGGTTATGTGCGTGTGTGTGTGTGTGTATTTATATAATGTTGTCAACTACACCGTAAAATTAATAGCTTTAATAATCAAGATTTATGTCTAACCGTGACAATAAAATAAATGAAAACTGGTTAATTTCACTTTTATTTATCGCTGTTTCAACCTCTTCCGTGTGTATGGTGCACATACATGATATGTTAAATAACAACTACTGCTTCTGTTGATTCTTATTCGATTATAAATCAAATTAAGACACGCATTCACACACACACACACACACACTTGGGCATACGATAAATAGTCAATTAACTGGTTAAATAAACAAATTAACATGGCACGTTACCATATACCTATAACGCACGCACGAATGGCACCAAACAAACGGGAAATAATTTTCCCGGCCTGTTATAATTATTTGATTACAAGATAATACGTATCGTTCCGAACGCAAGAAATTCAATTTCATTATTTTCGGTTGTTCACTAGTGTACGAGTATATTGTTATTACATCGTTACCGTGTATAATGTTTTATGCCCATGCAGTGGCTGCTGCAATAGGTACATGTCGTTCAAATTTAATAACACGATATCGCAGCCCATTGCTTGAGCGTACTACGGCATCGCCATTGTATCGCTATTAAGATAATATATACTTGATCATATCGTTTTATTTGTAACGCATTATTATTATTATTATTATTATTATTGTCATCGCACTTGCAAAAATTATTCGACAAAGCTCACATTCGATTTTACGGTCTCGAAAGTCGTTGTTTTTGCCCTCTGTTGCTTCGACTCAGCACTAAATCTTCGTATATCGATGCCTCTTGGGTCGCAGTATATTATACAGTTGATCGATTCTGACGATGACTGGTAAAACACCCGTAGTGATACATTTCAAATGGTATTCTTTTATTCTACAAAATATAATAATAATAATCATAAAAAAAAACAAATACTCCATTATTTGTATTATTTTTCAAATGAGTGTTTCTGTGCAAATACCTATACCAGTGGTTCTCAACCTTTTTTTGTTCACGGTACACCATTTACATCACAAGTTTTCGTGGCACACTCGTGCACTTGACAACAAAAACTTTGGTTACGCGCTAATATATCCAGTTGGGTTAAAAGTGTACAGTTTATCTAAATATGTATCGTATTATCTGCACAATTGACATTTAACTGTCATAGTTTTATCAATCAGTATTTTCAAATATCAGGTATTTTTCATGGCACATCTAGTCGATCTCGCGGCACTGTAGTGTGCCGCGGCACACCGGTTGAGAACCACTGACTCATACCATACTTATGACGGTTGCAAAGTCGGGATCGCATTTAAGTGATATAAGTGGTCGAACAAAATGTATAGATATAGTTTTAATTATCGTTCTAAAAATGATACTGTAATTTTGTATACAGCCTCGCCTAACTTTCCCCTGCAGTTCACCAACATCGATTTAACTTTTTTTTAATTTAATCTACTTGAAAAGAAAAAAAAATAATTTTTTTGTAGGTAAATATATTTGAATGATTTTCATCCGATAAATTTTCTGGAAATAGGGTCATTATGATCGTCTTAATCGAGCATATCAAATTTGTAAAAATACAATTCGGTAAAACGGGTGAGAAAACACAAAAACACAAAAAGCAACACTTGCGAAATATTCTACAGGGGAATTCGAAAGTTCATTATACATTTTTTACTAGGTACTTTGTGGTTTTATGCGAATTATTTGGAATTTTAGCTGTGAACTTATTATTACTATTATATTTAGTCGTTTTCAGATGTTGGTTTTCATTCGTCTCATATTCGTCCACCACTTCACACCACTCTCTCCATCGCTTCCAATTGTGATTCCATACGTATTTTATTGTGCGGAAAACGGCTTGTTTTCAGACTTCCTCTCCTTTTTTATTTTTTTTATTAAACTTTAATTCGTTTTGCTCTGGGACCGAGAAGTCAGGAAACAGACGTACGAATAAAACGTTAAAAATAAACTGATGCACCAACTCGTCGGAGTTGCAACTGTATACGTATAATATTTATATACTTATATACATGGCGTATAACTGTCACTAAGCGATCTCTCTCGTTTTCGATAAAAACCAATGAAATAATAATCTCGGACATGGCTGCTGTTGCTGTAACTTTAAAGAAGATGATATTGTCTGTCACTAAATTAACTTATCCTTTGCGCTATGACATTTTTAAATCAATTATCAAACAACTTGATCGTAGCCGCCACTTTAAGGGTATAAAGAACCACGAGAGAGTTACTCAAATTACGTTTGCCAGTCGGAAATCGAAGTTGGAATGAAACGCTTTGGACGTATGTCCAAATCGAACTTTTCAATTTATGAAATAAATTAATTTCTCATATTGAATTATGTGATTACACGTTTTTGTACGATATATAACATATGGTTTATTTTTAAAAAATATTTCAACCGTATCAGAAATCCTTCGGGAATAATTAAATTGCATATTCGTATAGTACAATTGTATGATAATAAATTGAATCGTAGTTTATACATTATATGCGTTGCAGTTCTCGAAAACGTAGAATTAATACTCTGTTTTTAATGAGTTTGAACCGCATAGTGCATACCTTCGAATGATTTCAATCATAACAAGCTAATTTGAATTTACGTTAAAATTGAAATGAAATGTATTAAGAAACGCGCATACGTACAAACTCCGTAAAAGTTCAATTCAAGCCCATAATTCACCCGAAATAGGACTTGGTGTATTGATTCAAAACCCTAACGATATTTATGAGGATTGACTAATAAATTGTACAGTTTTTTTTTTTTTTTTATCGTAAAGTAACTTAATTGGAAATTCAAACCTGGTGCGTGTATTGTTGTAAGACTGAAGATTTATACATTATCGGAATACCGTACAGGAGATAAAATAAATAAAGAACGTATCTACACCAAGGTTGTATAATTATAAAAATGGTCTAATTACTTTTTAAACAACAGCGGTGAAAGTTAAAAATGGGAAATTTTGTTTATTGTGTTTTTACCAGTGTCATGTAAATATAAATCAATATAAATGCTAAACATTTTCACTTGAATAAAATTGAATTTATAAACCAATGGAATGTAGAAATTTTATCGTCGATGTAATAAATTATACGTAGCTTAGGATTTTCCGAGCATAAAATTGAATGATCACAATAATTTTCGTTATTTGATACTTCTGCTTTGTTTTGCACGAAGAAGTGATGTTAATGTATTATAAATTAAAGTTAACTGTTACGTTTTATAGTAAAGTTACAATTTTTAAACTTGTTATCTTTCATTTAGTTATTAACTAACATTTACATTATTAGGTAATGTTCTTCATAATTTTCTTATTTAAATACAGTTTATCAAAATTAATTTAGTAACATAATTCAACATATTACCAAACGTATTTAACATTTTTGTGAAGAAAGAAATGAATGATTTCATAAATTTTACTGATTTGACGATAATCCATTATAATTTTATCTAATTAACCAACCAATATATATTTTTTTTCAGATTGCATACAGTCAATTTTGAAGATAAAATTGAAGTTAATCGAAAAGGTAAATAATGTTTTCTTAATTTTGTTTTTATATTGCGTAAGAAGTTTATTGTATAGTTATCATACTCGTACGATATTTTATTATTTTACAATATTTTTATTTGATTTTAAAATAAATTCGCTTTGATTTAACATTAATGGAGATAAAGTTCCAGTAAATATTGATTTCAAATAAATGAATAATCATACGTTCAGTGTATTTGTTTATGTTAATGATTCCTTATTGAAATAAATCAAACCGTTAAGATTATTACTTCCGACTATTTGTATTAATTGTATTCAAATAAATACCAGCAGTATAGATGTTTTAAATAAATGTAACTAAGTAATAATTATTGAAAAGTGCCACGCTGAAAAAAGCAAAAAAGTTTATATTATTTTTTATTTGCTTCCTAGAAATTTTAAGTAAAATTTTGATACCATTGTACAATTGTAGTCACATGTGCATATCACGCTAACATGCACATTTTTTATACGTTTCATATATTGTATTTATTGAAATTATTTTTATTGAATCTATCACTATCCAAATGAATTAACTCTACATAATTATATTAAAATGCGTATACCTGAATGTGGGGGTATTGATTATTATTTATCGGTAGTTATTTAAATTAAATTAAATTGCGCCACACATCACAAAAATTCACAATGTTTAATACATTTACATGGTTTTACTCAAAATCGTATAAAATATATTTGATTTAAATCAAACATAGTCATAATATTTTCCTAGTATCGTCCAATAGTGTATTTGAAATAAATTATTACATAGTTAAAAGTAATGTACAAAACGTGATATATATATATATATATATATATATATTGGCTAGTATTTTTGTAGTTCTTGATATTATTTTTACACCGATAAAACCATTAATACTCATATACATTAGTATCGGACAATAAATATATGTAACCTATTTGTTTTGATGTTAAGGAGTGGTTTTTATAAATTTTTTTATTCAATATATTTATTTTTTACCCCTCTGCAGTGTTGTACATTATGCACCCGGAAAAAGGTTTTCTGCACATTTGGCATCTATCCACTGCTGCATATACTGTCACACTACAAAGTGGTATGGTGGTCCACGGTCAGAGTAAACGGACGGGGAATTTCGATCGTCATGGCGAAAGAGAGAGAGTGAGCAAAGACCCATTTTCTGCTTGTATTCCACATATATATATTCTTCTCTCTTTTCCATTCCATCTCTGTTATGCACTCACTCGTACTCTCAAAAAAACCACCAGAAATCCCAGCACCTCTAATTTCGTCCGATATTTGACCCCAACCATTTGGGTTTGGTTTGCACAGTAGACTTTGCTAAACAAACGTGCCACTTTAGCCAGGACTTAATTTCCTAATATACATACATATATATATATATATATATATATATATATATATATATATATATATTCTAGTAAGGTAAACATGCCGAGTCTACTAATGCACTGCCAGCTCTTATCCGGTTAAAGGAACCGTCGTCTTGAAGTCGTGGTTTGTTTTATAATCAACAAAACTTTTCAACCCAACGCTATAGCAGCAGTATAAGTTACAAATAAGGCGTAGATTTGATCTGTCGAAGAAAATGATTTTATTTTTATTTTCGTCGACAGTGCGTATGTTTAATATATTCTCCCTTATTTTCGGAAGAAAAACAAAAGTCACTTTTTCATTTTCTATTTTGAATTGTAAGTTAAAATTTGAAATTCAAACTCTGTGAAAGTGCTTTCATTCAAGTATACTCTACATATGTTATCTCTGTTTGAAGTAGTATTTTTGAGAAATTGGTTTTTATGATGACGGGTCTTGGTTAAACATGAAGTTTTAAAAACTTGATTTTATACAATATTTAATGTACAAAATAAAAGTAAAACAATTACCCGGCATTGGTCTTTATGATTTTTAATTTTTTATTAATTATTTGAATTGTACCTTGAATATTTCCAATATCTAAATAACACCGTTTTAATAACGATGCATGATCTACGACAACTTAAACATAACTTTACCGTTGTTACCGTGGACAATGATATAAAATAATATACCTAAACAGTCTCCATAATAAAATTTCGGGTAGTCGGCTTTGAATAATTCTCGCGGATACTATCTATACATATAATAAAACGTTAAATAACGTTGTTGCTGTGCGTAAAGAAAAAAAGTAATTCTGTAAACTTCAGTCGTTTGAAAAGTATCATTGCAAGTTTTGGCGGCCGTTTAATCCACCTTAATTGGAACAGCGGTTTGCACCGGACTCAATAAATAACATAGATGGAAAGTGTGTTAGAGAGAGAGTGTGTGTGTGAGAGAGAGAGAGAGTGAGGAGGAATGAAACTTAAAGCCTCGTTTTGTGTAATGGGAAAAAGTTTTTGGCCACCGTCGCCACCGCCCTCTGAGCCCTAGGCGTTTTTATGAAACCAGCCATAAATATGAACATTTTTCGGCCCCGGAGTGATGTTTTACGAGAGGATGAAGCGGGAGACTACTACTGTGTTACAGTGTTTGATATATTATTGTTCGGAATCGCCATGTTCATACATACTCACGTATTGGTGTTGGAAAAATCAAGGTTTTTCGAATTACTAGTATATGGGGTGTTTATACTTGGATCAAAACTTTATATGTGTACGCGCGAAATACTCCCGACGATCCCATCGCACCTCCTCGACAATAGTTGGCTGTATTCAAGGAGATAATCTGTACCCTTTATCGGAGGGATACAGAAATAACAGACGCCAGGGTCGGGGAAAAGAAGAAGGACAAACGAAGTGAAGGAGAAACAGATATGCTGTTAGAGAAACTATAGAAGAGTAAGAAAGAGAGAGAGAGAGAGAATGAGAAAGAGAGAATGAGTATACATTTGAAGGAAGTCTTAAAAAAAACACGATAAGTCGGCTTTTCTCGAGTTCTTATCGTCGTCACCGCTGCGCCACGCAGTTCCTTTTGAATATTTTAAACATTTTAAAAGGCCTCGAAATGCATTACACGCTCGACTTGTGCAAAACTTGCATTCCTTTGCAATGATTTTGGAAATTTCTGTTTTCCGTCTTTTGAACTTTATATTTAGTCATTTAAATATTAATTATCTTATGCTCTCTGGATATTCAATTTAACATAAAATACGTTCTGCTATTGTTCTTCATTGGTGCTATTGGTACTATGAATACAAAATTAGGTATTTATATAGACGATAAAATTTTAATAAAATCGAATACATGGTTTTTTTTTTTATAAAACTAGCACTATAAAATTGTTTACCTGTTTTTGATATAGGCTTATATTTTCAAAATTTGAATACACTTAGTTTGTATGTAGGGTTTAGGGTATGAAAGTTTAATTTTAAAAACATTTATGTTTGGAAGATATTTTTCTTTCTACGACCTATAATCCGATAATTTAGTCAACATTGAACATACAAATATAGTAAGGAAGAAGGTCGAATATTGAAGTATGTACATATTTTTTCTATAAAGTTTCAAATATTTTAAAATTCTGAATTTTAACAATGACCGTATTTTTAATTAAAATGTTAGGTTTACTGGAAATGCCATTGAATATAAGAAATTTCAAATTTTATAAATAAATTTGCAATTATTATGTTTAAAAAATAAATTATTAATTTTAGAATTTAAATAATATAAATATAAAGTATAAGGAGACATAAACATAACAGATCACTGAATACTGAAAAATGAATTGTTTGATCTTGATACAATTATTTTTCTGTGATATCGAAGGTGATAAGCAATTTTTTTTGTTTTACAAGATTTTAATAAAGACGTGAAACTACTAACGTATATATAATTTAATGTAAATGTTCCTCAAATTAAATCTCGGTTTTGTTTAAATTTTTATTTCATTAACGTTTATGATATTATTATTTTTCCGAAGACTACAATATCATCGGATAATGATGGTTTGCTGCGAATAAAATTAGATTACTTATTAAGCAATTTTGAAATAAATTATTTTAGTTCGACTTTCCCCAAGAGATTGCAGGAAGAAAAAAATATTATTTATATATTTCACGTGACACCATAAATACCGCGAAAATTGAGTTTTTGCCAAAAGTGATTTTTCCGTAGGATTTTCTATGACGATCCTTCGTCGATTTATCATGTCTGCGTTTTTCTGAGCTTTTTCAAAAATAGTCCTTTACCCGTATATTCCCATTCCAAAAGTACTCATGCCTATACCACTTACTCGTATACCACCCGCTCACCATCGGTCATTCGCTCTCGTCGGTTCACTGACCACTGTAAACTCATAGATCGCGTTTATAGCCTTACAACGCAAAGTATCGACGAGGAAACATAGGGATGTGTGGTGAAAAACATCAACAGGAATATCATTATCACATATAATCGTGACATATCCGTAATTACATTATTATATTATTCGCAGCATGCAGGCGCGACACTACCGTTTGATATCCATATGATTTTCCATTGATTCAACGTTGGTTCTCGTACACGGCAATCGCTCACTATATCATAATATTATTTTCGCTCCGCGTGTGATAATGACGTGCTAAATCCCTGTCGCTTGTGACTTTGCATATGTTTTTTTCCTCGACTAAAGCTACGCCGAAAACGTTATCAAACGCCGTCGTTTGCGAAATATTGATCGTCTGTGTGTAATTAGACGTGAATACGACGAGCGGATGATATAACGACTTTCGGAGGAAGACTTGCTTACAAAAAATAAAAATATTCTACCCCTATTATACCGGGGGTTATACGACCTTTTGGGGGTAGGAAAAATTAAAATTAAAAAAAAAGGCCCTCGTATTTATAAATTTCACCAAGTATATTTTATGAGCTCTGTTTTTTCTTTTCTTTTTTACTTTTTTTTTTTTTTTTTTTGACATATTGTTGCGAGAGTGAGCAATATACGGAACAACGAGTATATACGAAGAAAATTGTGATATATAAATAAATAATAGTGACTGTACATGGTACATGATAAATCTTATCCTAAATATATTGCAATGT